ATGTTTGTTGGTTGCTGATTCAATAGCTATGAGAAAATAGAAATAATTTCTATTATCCCCTTTTGTGCAAAAATAACACAGACATATAACATGTACTAAACAATGTCGAGGGTTTTCCATTTTACTCGCATTTAAATTTTTGAATTTATATTTACAAAATATATAATATATATGTACATTGTACACCATTCACATACTGTTTAGTATTTGTAAATGTATACGTGAACTATACTGTTTTATGCATTGTGGCAAAACGTTTATCTAAATATCATAATATAATAACCTTTCTAGCGATAGAGTATATTATATTATTATCATTTAGTTATCATGCTATGCGCATGCTAGTATTTAGTCGAATTTAATTGAATTACTTTTATAATTCTTGTTTGTATTTTTGAAATTCTCAATGAATTTAAAAAAAATATATGGGAAAAACTAAAAAAAAAAAGTAATCATTTTTATTAAAATTTTAATATTATTAATAAAATAATTGATTGGTAACCTTGGATCAACCAAAGTCTTGCCGTTTTCCATCTTATAAAATTAATATTTAATAAATCTATTTCAGAGCCAACGATAAGTACACTAGACTTCTACTGTACTGCAGAGCGATTACCTACTTTCCCCCTTTTTAACATGGAAGCATTAACGGTTTATTCGTCTCTCGTTTAAATATTATGACAAAACTTGATAAAAAATTACTAATGTAGTTTCAATAATAGTGTTATAGTATAGAGTTAACGTGGTGCACAAGTGTACGGGGACCAAAGTGTTAACCGTCAAAACTTTTGTGTTACGGTCTTGAATTTTAATAGGATAACACGTTGCGACGACTCGACGTGAAAACTTGTAATCGTATCAAACCGCGACGTTAATGTCTTAATTTTATCGAAATCGTTATAAATTCTCATCTAACCGAAATTCCCTCGGAAACGTCACTGAAAATTGGTTATTATTAGAGCGGTTTTGTCATGCCGTCAGAGCACCTCATATATATATATTATAATATGGTTGCGCGTACGCTGCTGCTTCTGTGCACTTGGACTGGTGATGGACGATGGTATATACAAAATAATATAATATTATTCCATTTGGGAATTGGCAGCGAAGCTGTTTTATTGCTCTATTCGTATTGTGTTTTCCAATTTCCTGACGGATGAATTGAAGAAGAATATTCAGTTGTTTCTTTCCACCGTGTCTATATGCGTCGAGTCAAATCCTGTAACGTTCGCCCCGTTCGCCGACAAAAGCGGGTTACATATTATTATCGTCACACCCCCGCAGACATGCATCAATGGTCTCGTGAAAAAGGGGAAAACAGCAGAAGGAATACACATTGGAAGTCAGTTTACCAACTGTGACTAATACAATACATCGTGACATGACGTGTGCCTCACAACGGTGTGAATTTTATTTAATATCATCATATGCGTATAATATATTATTATTTCGATGCGTATTATTATCATTATTGTCGTTTTCGTTTCAGTTTTTACCGGGGTTTTAAATCATAAATATTTATATATTTGAATGATATTATCCGTTACATAATACGCAATCCGTTCTAAAATTACACTATTAATTGGCACTTACAATTTGGCGTCGTCTAATTATTTTCGTTTTCCAAATTAATAAGTATCAGTAGAAAGTCGCAATTCCGATGTCGAAGTATTGCGAATATATTATAGAGACTTAAAATTGACTAATTTGTGGCAGACGTTATTTTCGAACTTTAATACGAATCATACGACATACGTTTTGACTTCAATTCCACCTGAAACTTTTTAATGAAATCGGTAAAAGTCTCGATAATGTTTCCGCTAAATGTCTCTCGCATTTTCGTTTCGAATTTGATTTGATCAAAATCCATAGTAATAATGTTTTACAGTTCAATGCGTCGTTTATAACTTGTATTTTATTAACATTTATGATAATAACTCTGGCACGCTGTACACATAAGGCCAAATTGTTGTCATAACGTGCGCCGGCTCTGCCGTACTTATACACACACGGCCAAACAATTAATTCGGTCGTAAATTGTGTGCGTACTTGACATTCCTGACACATTGCCTGCCGTCGCGTTTACGTTGGCGCGCAAAGTTTGTCGAACATTTCAGCACGATATTCCGTCGTGAATTCATTATGTACCCCGCGAAATGCAATAATTAGATTTAATAAAATTTGATTAAGGTATATAACGCTGGTGCACGTGTTTAAAGCGCGTAATTATTCAAATAATATTATAGTGACGATAATAATCGAACCACAACAACTATATACAGACGATGGTGGAAATACTGGAGATACCTATACATTTCCGGAATTCTCTCCCCGACCGGACGTTTCTCGATTTCGATAAAAATATGAAAGAAAAAAAAATGGACGAACACACTCTTCTTAATGCGGTTTTGAGGGCGGATACTCGTAGATTTCATTTCAATCTCGCGAATTCATCATTGCAGATGTGTAAAAATGTAATTCCGAACAATTCGACGTGCCCGGTATTCGTAAACGCGCGCAGGTAATATAATAATAATATGTTCAACCCGAATCTATCATATGTTTTCTGACGTTTTTCGCTGGGAACTAATACTACAACCCCGGATCTAAGTAAACAAAATCCTTCCTTATCACACGGTTGCCATGCCAATCGACAAACAGGTCTCTCGCGTATTTTTTTCTTTTTTTTTCCGTACACATACATACATACATATAATATACAATATATATGTGTATGAATGTGTTATTATAGGTTATTGTTTGCCCGTCTCGTCGACATGAATTGTTTGTGTGAGTGTGTGCGAGTGCGTTCGTGTATATTATATGCACCAACAGTATTTTATACCCTTTTCAACCCAAATATTTATTTAACCAACTTGATTACCACCATAGCCGCCGCTGCCGCCACTGCCAACGAATGAATTTAATCAGATGTTTCTGACCGGAAAAACGTAAGTTGCATTATGCCGCCGGGACTTTGGACGTGCCGAAAGATAATATGATAAACATTACTTCCAGGAACGAAAAAAATTGTAAATAATGAAAAAAAAATTGAGAAGCTAAAAATAGTGTAAAATAATGTATCTAAATTAAAAAATGTTATGATTTGATATAGTATGCACTGGCTGATATTTTTTCTGATTCAGCCAATGGCGTCTTAAAAAATATTGCTGTAGGTATATCGTCTTAAGGTTGTAGCGAACAAAAAAATAATAATATGTAACGGTTCGTAGAAGACGGGAGTAAATGTAACTTGCGTGCGATTTTTAATAAAAATGCATTTCTTATATCGTAGAAATGATGCATGTGATTTTGTATTCACTCGTTTACTATACATGGTGGTGTATATAATATCAGTTCACGGGTACAAAGATGATGCACGATTTGTATCGCGGGTTTAGTCGAAAGGAATGGTATGATGAGAAAATTTACTCATGTAAAAATTCCTCCGCGAAAATATTGGTAATAATATTTGTTAGAGTATACGAGTAAAAAAAAATAATAAAAGAAATGTTCTATGTCAAATGAATAAAAAATAAGACCTTACGATGCATATATGCAATTGAGTGAGCCTATTCAAATTTAAAATATTCAAATTTCTTTACTCTCCGGAACTATATCAATCCAATTCAAGTGTGGCGTTATGCGTCTATGAAAAAAAAATATATACATATAATAATAAGTAAATATGGTGTCTGGAGATGAGATTGTTGAAAAAATACAACAGTGAAAACAATATTGCGTGCTGCATCTCGTCGGCGACTGGTAAATATTGCAGCAAAAGGGTTTTCAGACATAAAACGCCATCCAATTTGTCCTGCAAGCTGGGCCCCCATCCTGGGCCAACAGTCTGGTGTTTGAGAAAACAGCTTTTAAAAATCACAGACGGAACGCGAAAAGATAAAAAGGCAAAAACGTACACAAATGTGCGGAAACCCTGCGGGAAATCAAGCACCGGATCGATCGGATCGGCCTAGGGAGGTAAAAGAGTAGGGAAATGCATGTAAGGACAGCGAGAGATTAGCGGTGAGGACGGATAAGAACAAGTGGGCATTTGGAAGCTATTAATGCGACCCTTTTTATTTTTTTGTTCACGTTTCTTCTTCCTCTCCAGTTGTTTCCATTTTGAAGCCGTTGATAGGAAAAAAAATCCGAACGAAATGGTAGCTAAATTGAAAAAGAGATTTACCTGAGGATTATCGAAAGTGTTGAAGCAGATCCATCTTCGATGTGAAAACCACGTTTATTTTAAAGTCTATTCACTGCCTAGCATATACTTTCGGCGCCTTAAAAGATTAAGAATAAAATAAGGAAATCTTTCCGGGTTATACGCCAATTCTGAAACGTCGGTATATACCTACCTATTATATAATATGTGGAAAAGTGCATTACTTTATTAATCACACTCAATATTGCACGTGAAGGTGGAGATATAATACAAACGAATAATTCAATAGCGCTCCGTGGCCAAATGATTAGAACATTATACTTAAGTTAAAAACAAGCTCTTGAAATTAATTTCGTCTATTTCTCAAATTTAAATGATAAAATCCATGGATTATACATAAATGAAAAGATGGAAAAATGTACCGTCTTTGAATCACCAGTACATAATATTATATTTTGTATTGAATTGTAAAAAAATACGACAAATGTGGGATAGTTACCTAACAAATAAATGCTGCGAATCGTTCACAAATAAACGTAGTTTAAATTCAGTAATAATTTTAAGTGCTTAAAAACAATTTTGGAGTAGAACTTTATTGTTTAAGTTATCAGTTTAATAACAAACGTGAAACGACGACATACATTTTACAACTCTATATATCACGAATAAATAAAAAACAAAACGAATTGCACCTAATATCTACGTGTTTTATTGCGTATAGTTGGTTACCTACACACACGATACATAATAATATAAAACACTATTTGTCTTTTATTGCTTTTGACATAGATTACACTTTATTAAAGGGATAATTTTTGTTTTGTTTCAGCAGGATTCCATAAATCTGGAACCGTCAAACATTATGAGCTGCACGTCTAAAGGAAAATCTGAGGTAATGTAACAAAAGTGAACTGTTCTTTTATTTTATTATTATGGTTTTTTATTTTTATTTTTTGTTATCGTTTAAAAATAATAATAAAATACTGGGTGTTAGACGAAAGAGATCTGAACCGTATTTTACGCACAACAGGTATACGCGCGCGTTAGGTGGAGACTTTAAGCTTTGTTCTTTTTTACGTCGAGGATGACAGGAGGGAGCAATATGTTTACAATAACAATGGGGAACGAAAGAAAAGACGGAATTATTTCTCTTGCATGTGTGTGTCGCGCTGGTGTGTGAGTGTATAATGTATATATATATATATATATGTGAGCATAATATCCATGCACAGAGACAAAGAGTAATAAATATCCCTGTATGGGTTGGACAAAAGAAGTATTCTGAATGCGAAAATCCGGATTAAAAAAAAAAAAAACAACAACAAACTGATGTTATAGCGGCGGTATACAGAGGAAAATCAACAGTGCTAGAAATAATATAGGTGCATGCGTACACGTGTATACGTAAATTAAAATCGACTAAACCTCGGTCGGGGTGTAACGCACCAGACGCGTGTATGACTTTGGTTTGGTGCCGTTTTCGCATCGAATTTAATTTGTAAAATAGCTCTTAATGCGTAATCCATTACCGTTAAGCTCGGACGGAAGTCAATAATCCAATTCCGGACCCGGGTTCTTGCGGTTTATTAAATTCTTAACTCTCGGGCCGCCAAACGACCCCGATCGCGGTACCCTCCCGCTACTACTCCGACTTGCCCGGGCGGTGATTGAATTAAATCTACTAGAGAAGATATACCCAACATTGGCACTGGCCGTCAAAAGCAATTAGCATTTTAATTTGGACCCCGAACAATACCCAGACGCCCTCCGGAGGTTAAATAGAATCGCGATAGAGGTAAGGCAATACTGTTGACAGGAGAGGTGGCTGACACCGCGGACCGGCGGTAGAGAAGAAGTGGAGTAGGCACATAATAATAATATACCGTTCAGTCCATTTGACGAAACTCTTTTATTTAAAAAAAACAAAAAAAATAGTATATAATATTATATATTATATACATACAAGAGTTCCGTGTATACATATATATATATAAATATTCAAAATAAAGTCACCGCCGAATACCACACCCGTCAAAAACAGAACAATGTTGTTATCCGCGGATCGCTATTATGCAAAATAATAATTATAAACACATCTCGGTCCCGCGCTCCACGGACATCGATGACAGAGAGTATATTATACAACCCTTGATTCAGCCAACTATCAAAAACAATAATGGTGGTTTCGATGTAATAATGGTTTGATAACTCGGTCGAGGATGAGGAGGGCTCGTGTCTTGTTAGTCGAACGTAATCCCGCAATGACGGCGGCGGACGTGCCCCGATCTTTCAGTGTGCGTAGAAGTTAATCCAGATGGCCGCCGACAAACCCATAAAATATATATGTAAGCGCATTCGATTTTCAAGCAAAATAGCATCTGGTAAATGTAAATCAATAACAATATAGGAAGAACGGTTCATATAATATATTGTCGTATAATATAAACCCTATTCGTGATTAATTTATTATGACATTTTTCTTCGGGTTTTCTTTGCTGATTTGTTACGCACTCACGTCCATAAATTTGATCGTGTACTCTTGGTTTTACTCGCCCTAATATTATATTATAAGGTCCACATTCGCCGGTAGTAATAGTAATAATATATTATATAATATTTAGTAATTTTTCCTATTATTTATTGAGGAATATTTACAATCTGTTCTTCAGGGCGCAATCGGCAAATAAAATAAATCGGTATTTAATATATACAACAAAGAACAATGATATTATTATACAAGGAGGGAGACCGTCCAGTGATAGAATTCTACCTTTTTCTCTCTTTTTTTATTTTTAAACGAAAATACATAATATGCAGTTATTGAAAATCTGATTTTTAGAATTTTTAAAAATACTTTAAAGTATTGGGTTTTTTGTACTACTTTTGGAGTATCCTGATACAAACTTCTGTTTTGCAAATAAGAACCCCCTTCAACCCTAATTTATTCACTGGATAATTTTTCTGAAAATTTTAACGTAGGTATGTATCATAACCAAAATTCGTACAAGTGGTTTTTGGGCTATTTAACTCTATGGATATAAGGTAATGGATTTTTTCAATATTAGTCCATTAATAATTTGTAAAAATTTCCAAAATATGATAGTTTCAATATTACATCTATTTTATATTTTTGTAAAACCATTTTTAAGGACTTATTATCCTTAGTAAAAACAATTTAATAACTAAGAAACTACTCATTCGAAATTTGATCAAAACTTTCAAAAAAATTATTTGATGACATTTGTAATATTAACTAATTTTTACTATTGTGATTTCGTGTAAAAAAAATGTCAATGTTTGTTGTCTAACTTTTTCAATTTCAAATAGTTTTGGATCATAGAGTTTTATACCTCTATGAATTGTTAGAAGATATCATGCCAAAAGTCCGTAATATGTATTTTGGGGCGAATGTAAGTTCCCATACGTGATATAGCAGGTAAAAGTCACACAGGGTATGCATATGTAAGTTCCCAGACGAAAAAAATTACACCAGTACGTAAGTTACCACACGAAAAAAAATTACAGACTTCAGACATATACAAACTTCCTTCTTATTTTATTCAGATTTAGAACCGACAACTTAAACGTAGTTGGTGAGGTTAAAATTTGTTTGTTTTTGTGATGCATAAAAAAAGTCCAATCAATTTTCTAATTGAATCTCGTCCAAATATATAATAAAAATGTATAATATAATGTGTAGGTATGGTCCACATATTATTTGTATGGATATAAAATAATAATATTTGTCTTAGACTTCGAGATATCAATACACAAAACTTTATTATATTTCCGACTGCACAAATATGGGGATGCCGTTTCCATTTGGGCCAAGCTTGGTACCGTAAAATTCAAAGCTTAGGGTTTGCACCAGAATTTCATTTTGCAAATAATGAATTAGGAAAGTGGCTGGTAAATATATTTGGTTTACCATTTCTTAATCCAATAAAAGATGGAGATCGTTTTATAGATAGTTTCATGGCTGGAAAACCATATAATAATAAAATAAACGAATTTTGCTATTATTTAGTGACTAATTACATTGATTATACCAGTACGTTCCCCGCCTAGTATTTGGGCTAGCGCTAGTTCTGATTCAAGTCTTACTACAAACGCTTGAGAAAGTACAAATAATATGTGGACCATACCTACACATTATATTATTAATTTTTATTATATATTTGGACCAACTATACGTTTAAGTTGTCAGTCCTAAGTCTGAATAAATTTTCGTGTGGGAACTTACGTATGGGTGTTTTTTCCGTGAAGGAATTTACATATATTATGTTTCGTGTAGGAACTTACTAAATCTCGAATTTTGGATGGCTGTGCAGAATCCCAAATTTGAATCATACATTATACCTCATATAACAGAGATAAACGCCTTAAAAGAGATAACAAAAATAACTAGTTTTAATTAATTATTTTATTTAAATAATTTATAGAAGGTAGTTTCAGCCATTGTTATTGTTGTAAGTTAAGAATATATTAAGACATTTGTTTTCTTAAACAATAATACATTAATGATACATACAAATTACAAATTAAAACTACGTATCTTATGCCTGCCTACTAAATTATAATTACATATTTTTGTCTCGAATATTACACACATTTTTAAAAGGGTACGATGTTAATTGAGAATAGTAATCCTATACAAAAACCAGCAGTGTATAAAGTTGTTCAACAAGTTTGTTTAAAACTTTAAACGACTTTCGGTCATCGGTAAATATTTAACGACGAATACCCGTGTTTTAAATCCTTCCATTTTAATATTAGTTTTATGCTTTTTTTTTTTTTATATTGGGAACAAATTTTGTTTGCGTTTATAAACATCATAATACTGTTCGATATCGAAACTATACCTTTTACTCATTACGCGTTCGAAGACTATAAACAAACTAAATTACTTTTAATTGATATTGGAAAAAACGCGGTATTGCATGAAACTTCAAAAGTGGGTAAAACAATATTGAGAAAACCGGAAAGGAACTACTGAAAAATCGTTCGACTTGAGTCGTTGAGGTCCCACGCTCATCATTATTAGTGTTTCAAGTGTGTTTTTAAATTCCTGGTCGGCGGCGACGTGGATGTATGTTGCTATTTTCAGCACCATTTCGTTTTCACCCCACCGACGGGCTATTGTATTCTTTGTGTTGGAACAAAAAAAAAATATTAATAATAATAAAATAAAGTATTGTTGCCGTTGTTGTGAAAGTGTCCTCGAGTTTAAGACGCGAGTGCGACCACCGGCGTAATAGGAACAGCCAATAAAATTGTGCGTGCTGTATATGCGAACTTGGGAAATTGGCAAAGTTTGTGCGGGCTCGCGCGTTATATTTGAGGTTAATACGAAACTTACCGGCGGCGTTTACTGTGCGTGAAATGTCCTCCTCGAAGGTGTATAATAATAGTGTCCCGTTCCCCAAGTCGTTTTATGTGTACCACTAGGTATATAGATATTCAGCTAGACCGTTAAAACGTTACCATTTATTATAATATATATATGTTTCAAAATTTAATTCGAACCTCCTACTCGTTACGAGCACTTACGGCAACCGTAACTTCCGAGTAAAATTGTTAAAAAATGGAAAAAATATGGAAAAAAAATACAAATAGTAAAAACCGCCATCGTCCGTACATACTCAAAGTTTCCAACGTTATTTTATAATACAAACTAAATAATACTATCAAAATTGTTTTTTTTTTTTTTTTAATTTATCGTCGAACATACGACGGGAACGTAAGTATAAAATAGGTAATTAAAGTTGTAAATTATTAAATATAATATTATGAGGTATATTTCTAATTATGTCATGCGTGATTAATCTCATATTAATTTGAAGTTTTTAAAGTATCAAATTATTTATGTGTATAACATATTTTACATTATGA